TGAATCCAGGCCAGGCAATCTACCCACTGCACCACCTAGTTGCCCAATGCTTCACCATGACAATCCTTACAAAGATTTGAAGACAATTTTAGTGCCACCTACACAAACACACAAACACACACACCTTCTCCAAACCAAATATCCCGTTTCTTCAGCTATTCCACCTGTAACATCTAAACCTCTCCAGTGGCAGATTGCCATCAACCCTCCAATTTGTCTGCCTCCCTCTTGAAATGTGGTGCTCAGAACTAAAAACAACGTTCTTCAAAGAGACAAAGCTGTCAAGGTCAGGCTGTTCACACCTGGGAGTTGTACTAGGACTTGTGGCATCATTTCATCCTTCACAGAACAGAGAAACAACAAGGGTAAAGACTATTCTGGATCTGATTTTAATAGGAAGGAACTGCTTGCTGGTGTGAAAATAATGGGAACTTTGAAAGGCTGTGATAACTCCCTCCAGGAGTTTGTGATAGAAGAGAGGAAAGCCACATGGAGCTCATCAACCCTGGATTTTGGGAGAGTTTTCATGGGAGGAAATGAGCCCCGATAAATTGGAAATTCTGAAGAATGAATTTCTGAAGACACAAAGGGAAATAATTTCAATAAAGAGAAATAGGAATTGTCTGGAGCCCAATATATGTGGGTGCTCAGAGAATTCATCAACCATCTCAGATTTTTTAAAAAGATATTTACAGAAAATGGAAATAAAGGCAAATAATAACTAGCACAAAAGCATGCCATGCTACTATAAGCATAGCATCAGGAGTCCCAAGGCTTAAAAGGAAGGAGGAAGCTAAGCCCTGAGGGGTGATGTAGCCAGTGTGGCTCTGGGAGAGTGAGCTAGATAGAGCACAGTAACAGCTAACATTAATACAGAACATACTATAACTAGGCACTGTGCTAAGGGCTTTACAATTATTATCTCACTTGATCCTCACAACAATCCTGAGAGGTAGGTGCTATTATTAGTCCTATTTTACAGATGTGGAAACTGAGGCAAAAAGGGGTTAAGTGATTAGCCCAGGGTCACACAACTAGTAAGTGTCTAAAACTGGATTTCAGGTCTTCTTGACTCCAGGCCCAGGTCACTGTCCACTGTACCACATAGCCCGGGGAGAGAACTACAACTGGGGAAGAAAGGAAAGACCTTCTTCAGAAAAAATTGGAAAGACTTGTATGGTCTAATGCTGAGTGAAGTGAGCAGAACCAGGAGAATGTTATACACAGTAACAGCCACGTTGTACAATGACTAATATTGATAGACTTAACCCTTCTCAGCAATGCAAGGATCTAAGACATCTCCAAAGGCCTCATGATGGAAAATGCTATCCACATCCAAAGAAAGAAGTATGGAGTTTGAATGCAGATTGAAGCATATTTGCTATTTTTTTTTCTGTTGTGTTTTGTTTCTTCTTTCCAGTGGTTCCTCCTACTGGTTCTAATTCTTACTCACAACATCACTAATGTGAAAATACGTTTAATAGGAATGTATAAATATAGCCTATATCAGATTGAGTGCTGTTTTGGGGAGGGAGGTGGGGAAAAATTTAAAACTTAAAAGCTTATGGAAGTGACTGTTGATAAATCAAAATAAATTAATAAAAAAAATAAAATTAAAAAAAAGGAAAGACTTTGTAGGAGGTATTGCTGGAGCTGGGTCTTGAAGGGAGTAAGACACCCCCCACACCCCAGGTGATAAGTGACATAGACTCCAATGCCTTTCACCATCACAGCTATGTACTATCAGACTACATCTTTTGCACTGAGTTCAGTTCTGACGACCAGAGTTTAGAAAAGGCACTGATATGCTACAACTCATACGAGGAAGGCAACCAGAATTATTAGGAGCCCTTGTGGCCCTATCTTCCAAGGAGCACAAATGAACTTCAAGTGTTAGAGAAGAGAGAGGAAAGAAAAAGGAGAGATATGATAGCTTTGTTTAAGTATTCATATTTGAAGGGCTATGTGAAAGAGGCAGCCAGTAGTGCAGTAAAGAGTGCTGGGCATCAGCCACTAACTAGGCAAGGCATTTAACCTCTGCCTCAGTTTCCCCAACTCTAAAAAGAGGATCATAATAGCACCTACCTCACAGGGTTATGATGATTAAATGAGATATTTGTAAAAGTACTTAGCACAGTGCCTAGCACATAGGGGATACAATATAAAAGCTTATTCTCTTTCCTCCTATAATTGTTCTACTGTATTTTGTCCCCAGAAGGCAGAAACCAGGAGCAAATTTTAAAGAAGCCCATTTACTGATGTCAAAGGAAACTCCTTAACAATTAGACACATCTATTAAAGGGAATGAGTGGCCTCATAGTGATGGAGGGGTTGTGGGAAGTGTGCTCATGCACACTGGTGCACTGTGGGTAGCGTTGTGAATTAGTACAACCATTCTGGAAAGCAATTTGAAATTATGCAAATAAAGTGACTAAAATGTCTATACCTTTTGATCCAGAGATTTTATTACTAAGCTTGTACCCCATGAAGGCCCACCGATAAAAAGAAATAGGAAAAGACACTGCCCAACCCACCCCTTTGCAGAATGGGAGGTCTACAAGTTTGCAGGTTTTCAGACCTCTCCAATTTTTAAAAAATACTATTTGTTATATAGTATGGCTCTCTGGGGGAGGAAGGGAGAGGGATACTGGGGAAAACTATGGCAATATAAAACCATCGATCAAAACTTACTTTTAAAAAATGCAATGGGTTTTTTCAAGTAGTAGGTCCCCTCACTTCAGCTTCAGAGGCTGGATTACCACTTGTCAGGCGTGCTAGGTTGAGGATTTTCTGACATTAGATGCAACCTAGGTCTATTCCAATCCTCCTTAGATTCTGTGATATACAACCTTCAGACTATTCCTAACTGGGCAAGAGATTCTGATGGAAAGAAACAATGTTTGATATAGGCATATACTTCCTTATTCCACTAATTCCAATACAGGTCTAACCAGAAGTTAGTTTGTCTAAAAGACTATGCCTTGACCTTTTTATTTTTTTAAACCACATTCTATTTATTCAACAATATGAATATGAAACCTCCACTTAAGTCCAATGCTCATTACAGCCTGGAAGACCCCTATGTTCCCAAAGACTTGTCTGATGGAGCAGAAGTTCTGCCAAGTTCTACCAAGCCAGAAAGACTTGAGTTTGAATCTGGTAACTGAATGTGTGATAACTGATCCTTCAGACGACAAATGGCAGATAAAGATAATCACCAAAAAATTGGCCACTAGAGTATATTTTTTTTTAGTTGTGGTAACCATCTAACATGAAAAGGCTATGATCTGTGCCTATGAAATAAAGTAAGTTTTTATTAGGCACTTACTATGTGATGAGTACTGAGAATGCAAATAGAAGCAAAAAGTCTTCAATTTTCTCAGCTCTAAGGATGTAACTGAACTATACAAGGTGGTCCCTTCTAGCTCTAATATCCTATGATCCATTCTCCTTTGCCTGCCCTCAAGGAGCTTATATTCTAACACATTACATGGAAAAATAAAAAAGAGGGGAGAGAAAAGAAGGAAACGTGGAGAAGTCCATTGAGTCACAACCTGAGCCAATTTAGAAGTGAGCATGGTTACTGGGGACATATCCTCAAATGGAGATTGAGGTTCTCACCAACTGGAAAAGGCCACAAAGGTGGAAGCACCTCCAGCATGAAAAGACAGCTGAGGTAGAGATGAAAAAGTCTGAAGAGTCAGAAGCTGGACATGTGCTTCCTGAGAATTCTCCCTCTGACATACAGGAAACATCTCTGCAAAATCAATTCTGGTTTCAAAACTGGAAAATGAGGTACTCATAGTTCTTGGGTTGTATAGGTCCCTTTGAGCAGGTACCAGACCTGTGTTCCGCCAAAGTCCTCACCCCTGAACTGGAGAGCTGATGAACACAGTGACAAACTAGAAATGAGTAGTACTCAAACTGGTAAAAACATATAGGATCCTGAAATAAGGGATGGAATAGTTTTACAGCTGATTCCTAATAGCCTGGTCAACATAGCGAGGATAGATCATAAGCTTTGTTACAAATAGCTCTATATATGAGTTCCTGTACCTGAAACAGTCTCAACACACTCAGCATGTTTTTATAAAAACTTATATTATATATATATAATATAAAACTTACATTTGCTTATAAGCAAACGGAGAGGGGAAGAGAAAGGAATGAGAAATCCTCTGAAATCAATTTTCCCAGAATTTGCTAAGTAATTTCATCAGCATTCTAAATCATTGGAACTAGAGATGTCTATTTAATTTGGAGACCCATCTCCAAAATCTCAGATAAGATCAGCTGAATTTGGTCACGGGGAAAAGAAAACCTACTACAGAAGAGCTAAAATCAGTTGTAAGATAGATATAGTAAGAAAAGCAGCACTTGTGCAGTTAGAGGACCCAGATTCAGATCCAGTTCTTTGTGACTTGAGGCAAGTTATTTACTAAGGACCCTTCCATTTCCTCAGCTTTAAAAGGGTGGAATTGGACTGGACTCTACAAGATTCCTTCCAACTCTAATCTCTTATGATCCTTTCTTCATTACCTACAAAGGTTTTTAATTGTCTATGTATTTTATTAATCCTTCTTCTCTTCTGCCCTTCCTCTTGGTAGGAACTCCTTGAGTTGGCTAACTTACACATTCTAGAAAACATTATAAATAAAAGAGTTCCATAAGAGATATAAAATTTAAAATAGTATATGACTTCAATACTTTTAAGACTGTTTCCACCGTGCATTCCAAAAGGAGCCACAAATTTCACACAGATCAAAGAATCCACCACCTGCTAATCAACCTCCTGGTATTAAACTTTCTCCACTTTGTAAGGTTGGTTCTTGGATGACTGATGGCTCCACCGGACTTTTCAGATTGGCAGGAGCTCGTACTCTGCTAGCAGAGCCTTGAAGAATTCAGACCACCTCCACAAGGCATCAAGAATATGAAATACATTAGGACTAAATAAGCTGAGATGCAACAATCTTAAGAAATTATTACAAACCATTTAATTAATGCAAATATTTTTATTACAATTTTTACAAGATTAGTTTTGAACAGTTTATACACTGAAATATAATTTTAGATATAAAACCCCAACAAACAAGTTACATTACATCAGCCTGGGTCTGCAAAAGCCAATCTAGAGGTTTGCCAGTCTCCTAACTTTACTTTGCAAAATTATATAAAAATAAAATCTGATAATTAGTTACAGTTTTGATTTAAAGATGAAAATGAAGAGGTGCTCTTTATAATATTTCAACACTCAGAAACAAGCACATCTCTGTACAAAGTCTCCCACATACTACACTGCCACTTAAAGCACCATTACAATTTTAAAGTTTTTATAACTAGAACAGTACCACCACATTTATACTATGGCTAGAACGAAATTGACAGGACTCAAATTTTCTTCAGTCAAACTAACTGGGTTCCCTCTCCTCACAAGCCCAATACTTAAAAAACAGGTTTTTTGGGGAAAAATCCTTAACAAAAAAGTTTATTCACAGTTGTAGTGGTCCATTTCCCTGTCTAACACCCCAACCCAGGGGCAGAGGGGTTAAATATAAAAAGGTTCCAAATGAATGTTGTTCTAAAGTCTAATCAAAGTGGATGTTCCATAGCTTCTATGTACACAAGAATTACACAAGGATTTATCTGCACCATCTGTGAAGAAAGACATTGTTCTTTCAATTCAAAAAGAATTTCGCTTTATCAAAAAATTTAAACAGGGCAAATGATGCATGCTTTTCTAAGTCGTGAAATGTTATTCGTAATTTAAAATAGCTTAAGGTATTATTTAGCAGATCATACAAGGTATGGTCAATACTTTAGTAAAAGCACTCATCTGTGTGGTGTACATAAAATTTACCTTAGAACCAGTTTTAGTCTTTCCAAATTTTAAGGGAAATCTATTTTGAAAGGAAAAAAAAAAGAATAAAGACTTTCTTAAATACTAAAAGTTTAAGTATCTTGATGGTAATGTACTCAGTGTGGATTTTAGAGTAAACTAGATATAAATGGAATAGTGGCCAGGTAGAGGATAAGCTGAGGTAGTAAACCTTCAAGGCATTGTCTAATCCACGAGTTCCTGATCTATTCTCTCTGACATGTAGTCAAGTTAGATTTGGAGATCTTTTCTCCTACCCATGTCTTCCATTATCTGTAACAGAAGGATGAGTAAAAAAATGAGACTGTCCTTTAAATATTCAGTTAATGTTCCCTCAACGAAACAAATGCACAGACCCGCAAAGGAAAAACAAGCTCAAACATAGCTACACAGCATAGAAACAAAGGTAACCTTTGGGCGAAGTCATTACTAACGTTGTCCAGCTGTTAGTCTACAGTACTATCCTTTCCAAAAGGAGTTGGGCTTTACCAATTTATTTGCCACTTCTCTGCCACAAACTTGGAATGACTGAAGTCTATATTCCAACATTTGGAATTGGAAAATTCAAAACTGCCAGTTTCCAAGTTCACAGTGTTACCCTGACAAGTTTTCAAAGTGACAGTGCTGAGGCATGGTATTAATAACACTGCTTGTTTTGTTTTGTTTTTTAAGAAGATAAGCAATCAAACCAAATTGCTCCATGAATTCTTTTACCCTCTGCCCAGCAAAATTCAGTCAGGCTTAAGTTTAAAAAATAAAGCAAGTTTGTGCAATGATACTAATGCTTTTTAGAGATTTTGGATGTTAATGTTTTATGCCAATCAATTGCTGCCTTTTAAAAATTAAAACTTAATACACAGTGAAGAAACATGAAAAATGTAAAGATCCTTTCTCCAGAGACTGGGTTCATATTACTGTCTATAATTTTCATGTGTGAAAAGTTATAATTTACGGGCAAAGATAAAGCTTTCCAAAATTAGGCTAATAGTATTTTTACAGTCACTCCTGGCCACTCTGATCACTGAAGCCAGGGTTCTGTCTGAAATAAAATTAAAATTTACCACTAATATTTCCTTTAACAAATACAAAGTGTGAGATAAATTTATTTTAATTTAGTAGTAGTATAAGCAAGACTGATTTCTTAGCCTTAAGGCAAGAGGGTAATTATTTAAGTAGATGGGAAAAAATACAACAGAAAATACATGATCCTATTTTCTGTTTGTTGGAGTGAAAAAGCAAAGTATAAAGAGCACAAAGACTTTAGACAGGCATATATACTTTAAATTAGAATTGATAGTGGGCTTTAAACCCTATAAATATTGTTTCCCTTCAAAGTTTAAAAAGTGCAAAATTACAACTTAATAGGTCCCATCTTCTTCCCCAAAAGCAAAAAAAGATGTTCAAAACACATTCAACTTACATAATAGGATTAGTTTCTTCAAGAAAATAAGAATTAAAAAATACCACACACCCCACACTCCTAGCTTTCATTAAGAGGTCTTATTTCAACAATAAAAGCAGACACACACTTCAAAGTAGGTTTGTTGCACACAGGTATCATTAAGTTGGGGGCACCACATCCAAATTTCATTCCCTCTCAGAAACTAAAGGGCAGCTGCCAACTTCAGCTCTTAAGAGGAAGACACCTCTTATGTTAAGAGGTAGTGTGTATTAGTGGGGGAAAAGGGCCAACATCTTCCAATCACTAGAAAACATTAAATCTTTTGTAGTATGTTTCCTGGAGTTCGTTAAAAATTTTCTGTCTGTGCTCAAATGTCAAGCAGTATCCAATAGCATCTTCTGTTTCTTGAATTCGTTTCTGGAATCGACATCCATCCCTTGCTAATTCTTCCCAGGGTCCTTTTCGATCTTCATCACTACTTATGTAATACTCAGTAACTTCTTCAAGAAAGGTTACCTACACAGACAAAATTATTTTAAAATTGAAACTAAATATATAAGCATTTTTGATACTCTGTGAACACAGTTATCAAAGCAGTACTGTAGTTATCTATTATTTTGTACTACCAATTATCATACTCAAACTGACCTCTGTAATAGGTTTATTAGAAGTATAAGGGAATAGGGGATAGGCACTCAATTTACTCTGGCATAGGGTATTCCCTCTACTAATGCAAGCTGGCACCTCTGTAATCTTGGCAACTTGTCCTGAGCACTGAGAGGTTAAGCAACTTGCCCAAGGTCACAAAGTGACCCTGTCACACAAGTGGGAATTGAGCCTCTTGACTCTGAGGCCCTCTCCATCTACTATACCATGATGGCTTATGTGATATTAGAAAATCCTGGCTGAACAATATCTAGATGAGGACTGAATTTTTAAAATATCCGGATTTTTAAGAGACATTAGTCCAAGTGGGTTATTTAAATTTTCAAACTTACTTGTGTCTTCGGCAATATTTCTAAATTATATACTGCAAGCAAGCATTTGCTTGGAATGTTAGCTGACTCAAAGGATTTTGTAGTATTTTTCAGAACCTATTAAAACTGGGTCTTTTTTTAAAGCATAAATATGAGTTCAGAATAAAGTTTGGAGCAATACACCCATTAAGTTTAGTTTTTCCCTATAAAGTTTCTTAGCTTTATACTTTAATATGGAAAATAAAAAAGAAAATTTTTGTTAAAATACTGCCTGAAAACTTAAAAATATGCCAAAGTCTTTTAATAAAGCTTCCTCTGGCAGTGTAGAACTGAGACCTAAAAATTAACAACTTAATAAGAAAGTAGAAGAGTATTATTTTATGATACAGTGAAAAAAGAACATTGGGTATAGAGTCAAAAGCCATAGGTTTAAATCCTGCCACTGCTACTTAACACCTGCATGACTGGTTCTCAGTTTCCTCAACAGTAAAAAGAAGTGGGTTGAATCATTTAAGTCCTTTGCAATTCTAAATCCTATGAAAATTCCTATGTACAACAGAACCAATGATAACAATAATAATGACCCTTACATTTTTTGTACAGTGCTTTTAAGACAGAAATACAAATAATCACTACTTTTCTCTGAAATACTTTTTAGACTTTCTGTTGTTGAGTCACTCAGTGGACTATACTTGTCCATGGGATTTTCTAAGCAAGGATATTGGAGTGGTTTGCTATTTCCTTCTCCAGTGGATTAAAGCAAACTGGTTAGATGATTTGCCCAGGATCACATAAGTTAGTAAGTGTCTGAGGCCAGATCTGAACTCATAAACTAACTTTAGAAATCTTTTAAAATGACAGAAGTTGTAAAATTATAAGCTTGACCCAAAGAAAAGATATGAGAAAAAAAAAAACAACACTTCCCCCATTCCTTTGCAGAGAGGTAGGGGTCCACATGCATGGAACAATGCACAATATCATGATTTTTTAGGTGTCAATTATTTTCCTTAACCTTTTACCTTTGTCTTCTTTTTAAAAATTCTTTGTTGTAAAAGATGACTCTTTATCAGTAGGAGGGACACAAGAATAAATATAGTTAATGCAAAAAAGATATTAATAAAAATCTATTAAGATGACAGATTTCTAAAATTATTCCATTAGTTCAAAATTCCACACATAATATATACAAATGAAGCTTTCAATGAAGGCTTATTATTTAATGTGTTCAAAGTAGATATATGGGGAAAGATTATAATCAAGCTACAAAATGTCTTTTTATACATTCCCATTAAATGAGTATATCCAAAATTATTTGTAAATTATTGTTTATTTTATAAAGCGTAAAATGTAATAGGGTAAGCAAAGGAATCCTTGGTCCTTTTTAACTCTTGCTTAATTGATAATACAGCACTCTACCAAAGAGATCAGACTCCAATATGTAAATATCTGCCTTAAAGCATGTTCAATAGTTACATCAGCCAATCCCATTGTGGCTCACTACTTTCATTCCTTTTACATCAGGCCAAGGAATGCCCCTGAGTATAATTACCAGGTATTGTAATATAATACTAGATATTGCATTCAGGTCATTATTCACTTCTTGGGTCACTAGGAAAAATGTTACAACAGGCTTCAAACTACTAAATCTCTATTTTTACTACCTGTGCAACCCTAGGCAAATCACTGAACATCTCTGGGCTTTAATCTCTTCATCAGTAAAATGTGGGGGAGTTGAACTAAACAGATGTCATTAAAGGTGCCTTTCCATCTATGTTATCATCTAAAAGGACTTTAAGAATTAGATGATATCCATTGTTGTAACCAACATAAACTGGCTGAGTATACATACAACTGTAACATAGTAAGCTGCCATGGAAATCATAATGTGGATAGAAAGGAAGTCCCACTAAACAGCAAAAGTCAAAGTTCACTTCCTTTTTTACAGAATTACAACAAGGAAAGGGCTCAAGATAACCTGCGGGTAGTACAACATCTCTAAGAGTTATGATTCAAATACCTCTTCTCTCACCTCTACCCCCACTCCCCCAAAGTGGCAAAAAGTAATATTCATCGTCAAGTTCACAACTTCTAAAACTAAAGAATTTTTTTCTATCAAGAAATTTTAGAGTTGTAAGGAGCTTTCTTTAATGATCCCCTAAAACCAATTACTTCAATTTATAGAGGAGGAAACTTGAGACCTAGAACTGGACAAAGATCATAATCTAATGAGTGATACAACTGGAATAAAAGCAATTTCTCATCAGATCTGTGGAGGTTTAAGTCAAATATTTAACATTTTAATACTAGTAATTTATAGCATCTTGAGGGAATGTCCCTTAAATACCCCAGAAAAATGAAGGCCTCATGATAGGGGTTAAATTTCCTGAACCAAGAATTTACTGCACACTCTAGAAACTCCATGGTGGAGTAGAATGAAACCAAAATCCTTATATGGTCAAAAGAGGTCTCTTTGAAGAGCCTCAGCCCCAATCCTTTCTCTTCCTGGAAAATGCGTTGAGAAATACTGGTCTTAGTCATTAAAGCGATATGAAAATTTAAGAGAAGTTCACAAAAAAACCACTGTTATTAATCAGCAGACACCAGAAAAGTTTTTGCCTTTAGAGATAACAGAATCAAAGAAGGAAATCCATAAAGACATGACTACCTAGTTTCTTTCTAATGGGTTGGTAAAATGATCATAATTATTATTTTTTTTTTTTAGGAACCAGTTCGGCAGTAAGAGTTTCACCACAGGTCCAGGAGTAAGAAATAATGCAAGATATATAACAAATAATTATAATTTGACTATGTATTGGTTATTATTGATGTACCAAACTATTTCTAAAATTTCATATTTAAAGTAATCAATCTAGTCAAATCAATCATGGGGGAAAACTGAATTGTTTTTATATTGAAAAAAATCAAATATAAACATAACCTTGTATTTACTACCACCATCCTTGGACTACTAAAAACATAAAACGAACTAGAAAATAAAATTCAACAATAGACATTATAGCCTCATACAGTAATAATGAAAATACCCATTTCAGTAAAACAACATCTGTACAAATCTATTTGGTTCCCATAATGAGAAAAAAATTCACAATACCTGGAAAAATGAGATTTTTGTAAACAAGTGTAATTTAATGCCTTTGTTCCCTGAAAACAAGAAGTGTCTCATGAGTTAAAGAATTTCCACTTTATCGTACTAAAACGACCTTTTTGACATCAGATTATGAATTAAGTAGAAAATATTATTTCCCCTGTGTAATTATGCTGTAGTTATAATAATGGATAAACCACACTAAAAATAGTTTGTTATTAACTTATCTGTCATATTAGGATCTTTACTTTGGAATAAAAACAAATCATCTAACAAGAAAAAATGTAAACGGACCATCTAACTATCTCTTAATCCAAGCATTAGAAAGGACATTCCCCAAAATGTATCTCATTATCCTCCCTAAAAGTCTTTGTGAAAATACACATCATTAAAAAAAAAAGAAAATACACATCATTAATCATACAAGTAAAAAAGAAACGTACCTTTTTTCTTCTGGTAGATGTGTGTCTATCTCTGGGAAGAATCCCATACTGGACAATGTCTGTGATTCCAGTCTCTGGGCTCCCTAACAGCTGTACCTTACAACTAAGTTGTACATCACTCTGAGAGATGGCTACTGTTGACCCAGTTCGTCTGTTGGAGTCACATTTGTCTTTCCCTTTTTTCCCTGCTGTCTGAAAAGGTGCTTTAAAATTAAAAGGGTTGTAGGGGTCATCGGAGTTACTGAAAGAGTTCCAGAGTTTTAAGTTCTCTGCTTCATCTGCACTAGATTCCCAATCATCTTCATCTCCAGAGCTATGGTCAGGAGAACCAGGTGGGCTTTCAGTCCAGGAAGAATCTTCTCCATCAGACTTTTCAGAAGAGTTATCCTCTGAATCGTTATGGTCTCCACTCATAGTTCTAGCAGCAGTCTGAATTGTCGCTGTAAAGTTTTGAGGGTTATATGGATCTATACTGTAGAAAGAATTCCAAAGGTGAAGGCCTTCAGAATTCTGTTTGCCAGAGTCTGATTCTGAAAGAGAACCATCACTATCAAAACCATCATCCTCACCTTCCTCATCCCAATCCTCACCCTCAGACTCGGCACTTGTCTCCTGGTCACTGGATGCACCCCCTAAAATATAATCTATCAATTTGTTACTACATGCTGGTCTTGCAGAAATAGGAAAGTCATCTTCTATATCTGAGCTGTCAACCACACTTCGCTGATTATCCACAATGTCTCTCTCTAAAGCCAGATCACAAGTAGGCCAGTTTTCTTTAGAGTCCTGACTTTCCAAAAGAGAGGGAATCTCTTTAATCAACAACCCTATTTTGTCCTCTGTTGGGTCCTCTTTGCCTCCTACAAAGGCCTGTGCGGAGGGGACAAACTGTACAGGACTATCTCTACAACACTCAGATTTCAAGGCTTTTCTCAGGTCAATGCGAAGCAGGTTGTGTTCCTCCTCCAGACTGTGATAGCCATGATCCTGATCAGGGGTGGGCAGGGTTTGGCCTTTGCTGGCCAAGAACTCCAGGCGTTTCATTCGGAGGTGGTGGATTTCTGGCAGACCCTCTCTGGAGAGGGGTGATTTGTGAGGACATCCCTGCCAGGAGGATCCAGGACTCTCTGCGTTCAGGGGCTGGGGCTGGTGACTCTGGTCAGCAGTCAGAAAGCAGCTGTCTACAGTTAGTGTCTGGAAGTCGCCTATCTCTGCACTCTCAAAGCTGCTTTGACAGGCGAGCTCCACGTGAGACAGGCAGTTCAGCCCGCTGGGGTTCAGCACGTAAGAGACCACGTTTAAATTGTTAAAGTGTTGAATGTTGAGAGCCCCGCCGGGCGACGAGCAAAGCTCCCTGTCTGGGAACAGGTGGGCTTGGAGGCGGCTCTGCACCAGCTCGGCCCCCCACAGCTGCTGCTGTAGAAGGGAGCGCGCAGCAGGCCCCAAAGGGCTGCTCTTGCCCTCCAGCTCCATGCGCAGATCTTGGGGGCCGCACTGCCAGTGGATGCCCTCCTCCAGCCACATCAGCGGGGTGGCAGCGGGGTCGTCGGGGAGGCGGTCGAAGCCGGAAGCCTTCTGCGCGGCGGGGGCGGCGGCGGCGGCGTCGCCCCCTCCTCTCAGGGCCCTCTTCGGCGCGGCCAGCTCTAGCCACCGGCTGGGGATCAGGGCCCCCAGGAGCTGGCCCCACAGCAGCACCTTCTGCAGCAGGCAGGGCAGCGGCGCCAGGAGCTGTGCCAGCAGCGACAGCCACGCTCGGACCCGGGCTTCGGCCGGGGGGCCGCAGGAGGCCCGACGCCTCGGCTCGCCGCTTTTCTCGCCGGCGCTGGAGGCCGGGCCAGGGGAACTCGAGCCCTGCCGCGTCCGGCAGGGAAGCGCGAAGAAGGGCAACCGGAACCACGAACCCGCGGCGGCCGCGGGCCGCTCTCGGGGCACCCGGGCTCCGGGCTCCATGGTCTCCTCGGGGCGGTCACTCGGGGTCGCGGGGCGGGGACTGGGCACGAGCCGGCGGCCGACGCTTACACGACCTCGGCCCGGCCGAGCGGCGGGGCCAGGGCTCCGGGCCGATGACGATCCGCGGCACGGCAGGGGCGCCACGGGGGGAAGCGGCGGTGACGGCGGCGGTCTGAGAGCCGAAGTGCAGAAGGCTGAGCGCAGGCGGTGGCCGGAGAGGCGGCGTCCATGGCGAAGGGGCAGACGGGGAGCCCGGGAGGGGCCGGGAAGGAGCTGCCTCAGGCAGGCGAGAGCCCTGTCACCATAGAGAGGACCCCTCGGGCGGCGGCTGCCACAAGACGAGCGGAGAAGCTGCCCCTCAGCGGAGGCAGGCGGCGGGGGGCCCGGAAGCCGGCGGACGCCTGGGCACAGAGACACCCAAGATGGCCGCAGCGCCGGCTTCGAAACGGAACAGCCCGCAGCAAGCAGGGACGGAATACGACAGGGCGTGCCGGCCACACGGCGTCGCCTCTTGGCCGCGCGCCGATGAACGTCAGCCGCAAGCGCAGGGGTGGGAGGGGCTTCTCTCGCCCTCATCCGGGCCTCCTCGCGTCGGTCCCACCCTTCCCCTCCCCCACTCCTCCTCTTCTCCCTTTCCGGAGTTAGGCCTCCTTTTACCCGCCCCCCCCTCCCCCACGTCGATCTGGCTGGTGCGCTGGAGTTGCATCAGCCGGGCCGGGATCGTGCGCGCGTGCGCAGTAGGTTCGCTCGGATCTCCTAAGAGACCAGCCTTCCTACCCTTGGGGCTGTTGACACGCGGTAGGAGGTGGTGCAATCCAAAGAGAAACCCGAAGTTATTAGTATACACGAACGGGAGTATAAATGCCAAGCTTATACCTATGTGCCACGTTGCGTGGCTTCAGTATCGGTGGGGGCTGAGAGGGGGGGTGCCTCGTGATGTTTGACCCGGGTGATTAGGCATTCGCTAAACATGCAGCACTTAGATGAGTAAGTCTCTTCTTGTAACTGAGAAAAAAAATTCTGAGCCCAAGCATGAATCACATGCTCTCTCAGCTTAGAAATCCTGAAATGATGCATGTTTGCCTGGTTAGCCCCTCCCTACTGTGCTATCCCTTTTCACAGAGGGGGAAACTGAGGTCACAGAAGAGCGAAAAGGTCACAGAGGATGGAGGAAATTCACTCCCAGTCCCCAGAGCTCTTAGTTTTACTCTCTCCTGTGACTTCCCCCTAACTCTTACAGATACCAATCAATTCATATTTGATCAGCTTCCAAGCCAGGTGTTCTAAGTGCCCGGACGGGTTCCCAGACCAAAATAAATCCCCGGTAGGGGAAAAGACCTCTATTCAGTCAAGTTGTTTGGGTGAGTAATTTTAGCTGCTGAATTGCATTTACCTTTGTGAATAGGTTTGTTTTTCCTCTAAAGCTTAGTATTAAAGAAAGGTGTTGGCTATTGGAATACAGGGGCAGCAAGAAGTGCATGCCAGCTCCCTCTTCTTAATAGGAGTAATTGAAGAAATAATAATGATTGATAGCTTCAGAAGACTAAAAGGTGAAATATGCCTCCTAACTCTAAGCAGTATAGAAGCAGAGCAAAACATACATACCTGGTCAGACATGACCAATATGTTGATTTGTTTTGCTCATCTCTACTTGTTACAAGGAAGGGTTATTATGAGGGAGGAGTCATTGGGAAGTGACAACTGATGTAAAAAGAATGTTAATTAAATCATGTTTAAGTAAATAAACTTTTTTAAAAAGAAAAATAATAATTGAGCTTCATAGGTGGAAAGGCTGTAGAGATGGAAGTGAATTCATCTTCGAATCCACTGATTTTATGGGGGAAGAAAGGGATGTTAGCAGAGGTAAGTGACTTGGCCAAGGTCACACGAGCAGGTAGGACTCCTTATCTAGGCACAGATCTACCCATAACTGGCACCTCTGGAAGCATCTCAGTTATGTCTTGGTGCTGATGCCTCAGGGCAAAGATGTTAAATAGACCAAAATAATAATTTGTTGACATCATAGCACCTTCCCCATGACCAAAAATTCTTAGGTTGTCATTTATCACATAACCCTGAGCAGTCCTTTTCCGTTCATATAATAATAATGTCACATGCCTCCATTTCCCAAGTCATTCACTGTAAAATATAGTCCCTGCCTCTTAGGATCATTCTGAATGTGATGAGATTATAGATTACTCAGAGGCCAGAGGCCACTTATTTGTAGTAGAAAGAATAATGGATTTGTCATTTCTGCCACCTACAATGGGTATAACCATAGACAAATCACTTAACTGCCATGTGCCTCTGTTTCCTAATCTGTAAATTTGAGAGGATTGGTCTAGCTTATCTCAAAATTCCTTTCCAAGTCTTAATTTATGATCCTGCAAGATTCCTATCATCTGCCTAAATCAGGAAGATGGGATTCAATGATCTCTCAGGTCCCTTTCAACTTAAAAATCCTATGATTCTATAAAACAAGTACCTTTACTACAAAAAACATGGAAGAAAAAGTGTCAACAGCACACCAACAACATACCTCTTTAAACTAATCAACTTGTAGTGTAGGGACAGGGTAGCTCTGTACAAATTGATAAGGAGGAAGTTTACCAAGGACTAGGAAGTATTTTCAGAAGAGACCAGCTGCCCTGGGCTAGACTAAATGAATAACAAAAAGGCACTCGGTCAGAAGCTTGGATGAATTATGACTATCATACCCAGCAGTTTTGCTAGGGCTTTGTGTAAAGTGGAAGAGGGTTAAGCAGAAAGTTTTTGCTGTCTAAAGATTCATAGAAGTTCTGTTATATAAAGGAACATGGCCTGAAACATGTGTGCCAAACAGATCCATGTGGGGCGAGCACACCCAAGTACTTATGCTGAAATCAGTCATCTGATTTAAGGGGGTGGTGGAAGTACACTAACCTCCACTCCCCTTCCCTATTTAGAATAAAATTAAGAAATGTTGGGACTAATCTGAATGAGAAATCTTATCAGTCCTTCTTTAACTATGAATTCCAAAACAATGTCTTCTTTTCACATTTTTACTAAAGGCTTAATTATCAAGCATTTTTTCCTCTCCTTCCCACCATTCCCCCTCCCTTTCTACACACACACACACACACACACACACACACACACACACACACACACACACACACACACACACGCTTTGGAACAAATAAGTGTAGTCAAAACAACGCCCTTATTGGCCATGTCCAAAAAATGTATGTCTTACACACACATTCATTGTGTCATTGAATCTTAGATTGAGAGCTAAAGCTGGAAGGGACCTTAGACATTATCTAATCTAACCCCCTCCTTTTACTGATGAGGAAACAGGCTCAAAGATATTAGTCACTTAGCAGATAGATGGCAAGAATAGCTCAAATGTGTCCCCATTAGAATGGGAGCTCCTTGAAAGTATGGATTGTCTTTTCTATTTGTTTTCCCAGCATTTAGCACAGTTCTTTGTGTGATAAATGCCTTATTCATTCTTTAACTGAAGTCACACTGTGGCTGAGCTGGACTTGGAACCCACAACCTTTAACTTCAAATCCAGTGCTTTGTCCACCGAACCTTCTTGCCTTTGTCCTTGCTGTTCAGCTGTGTCAGTTGTATCTGAGCTTTCATGGCCCCATTTGGGGTTTTCTTGCCAAGGATACTGGAGTGATTTGCCATTTCCTTCTCCAGCTCATTTTACAGATGAGGCAACTGAGACAAACAGGGTTAAATGATTCACCCAGGGTCATACATTCAGAAAGTGTCTGAGGCCAGATTTGAACTCAAGAAGATGAGTCTTCCTGATGCTAGGCCCTGCACTCTATCCACTGTGCCACCTGGCTGCCTTTGCAGACTCTTGTTATTCTTCCTCCGCACCCTCATCCTTATCCACTCCTTCAGATGGTCTTTTCTTGGTCTATATTTGTAAAATTCTATAAGGAGAAATGTTCTACAAATTGCCTTTATTTGGATTTACACAAGGTCTCCAGTTTCCTTTTCGGAAAGATTGGGTTTTGCTGCTTTGAAATTCCAAAGTCCAGAGCAATGGCGACACCTTAAGGCCAATGACACACTCTGCAGCTAGTTAATTTTCACTATTCACCAAACAGAAGAACCCCGAGGAATCCCCATCAAATTCCCACTCCCCAACCCCCGCCCCCTCCAGCTTGTTTGACTCACTACTGGAAAATTTATAAAATGTGTGAGTAAATTCCCCACCCTCCTGTTTCCTTCATCGGCATCATCACCATCACAATTAATCTAAGGAAAAAGAATTATTTTCCTCTTTCCTCTATACAGTGTTAGTAAAAGATCTGCCACCAGCCCTCACACCCTGCCCCCCCCCATTACCGTGTATTAGCCTTAATTATACTTTGTATTTCCTTGTGTGTATGTGTAGCATCTCCCTCTAGCAAGACAAGATCCTTGAAGGCAAATTCTGCTACATTTTTGTCACTGTATCCCTCACAGTAAGAGCTTAATAAATGCTTGTAGAGCTGAATTTCAAATATACTAGATTTGGAATTTGAAGACCTAGGATTGAATTCTAATTCTGCTGCTTACAAGCTAAATGAATTGTGACAAGTCACTTAACCTAGGCATTTCTAGGCTTCAGTTTCCTCCTTGGAGTTACTGTATGATCTCTTCCAGCCCCAACTCATATCAAGTGCTCACTCCCAGTTGGACAGGACAGCGTTCCCTTTCTCTACTAGCAGGGTAAGTTTAGGGCAGAGACCATGCCATATTGGGATCAATTGAAATAAATGAGAATGTTTAGCCCAGAGAAATCTCAAAGACCTTTCATGGAAGAGAGAGCAGAACTAGGAAAAACAAATGGGAACTGCCATGGGGGAATGTTCAGGTTTTCCTATAAGGAAAGATTTCCTAACTATTAGAAATGCGAGTTCCTTATCACTAGAGATCTCTATGCAGAGGGCAGCGACTACTTGTGCAGGATGTGGTAGAGGAGATGCCCAGTCAGGTGCAGATTGGAATACACCTTGGAGGCTCCTTATGAAAGGCTGTGGTTTTACATACAAAACTTTGTTGCAAAGGCAAGGATGTCACTATGGACACTGGCCCAATATTCCCTATTACCTTATACTTAATGCTGCAATATAGCAACAGACCAGAAACCGCTGTCTGGGGAACCAACCAAGACAAGTACACGAGGGTCTCAGAAGGTTGGCCTTAAGGTGGGAAATTATTTGGCCATGGTGACATAAAATAGATTACACAAAGGGTAGTTGTAAAAGATTCAATAAGGGGTTAGAGAAAATTGTGTATAATCGGGGTTTGAAAACTGACTGTATCCTGGGATTTGTAGTCCAGAAAGACAATCCCTCAGAACTACAAATCCCAGGATGCCAATCATTTCTCAAAATGTATAATGGATTGGATCCATAATGTATTACGGGAAACCAGAGTCTCCTCTCAAAACATTCTGACATTTTCTAATTGCCTTCATATAGGACAGCTGTGCCTTTCCACATATTCCTTAGTACCAGTATCATGGATGGAATCCTGAGCTGGATGTCCCATGGTTCTGACCTAGTAAAATAACTTTCGCGTGGGTAACTGAAGCATTGTGAGCCAAAGGCAATTTTTCAGCAGGCTAGCCTCTACCTAGATAACAAATGGAAACTTCCCAAGCAGGAGTAGATCCTCCCAGAAGTCTAGTGAGATAAGATGTTTAGCCTACACCAGATATTTTGAACCCAAACCTCTCAGCACCTCTTAGTCTTGAAAACCATCAATTCTGTTCCTTGAATGTTATTTATTAAAAAAATACAGTTCCAAAGAAAGTAAGAAACACCTGGGGCCATGGGGAAGTGGGTACAGTACAGAAGCCTCTTTTTACCAAGGCTGCTGGGGTATGCAAAATAAAGTAAGCTCCAAGCAATGGCCTTAAAACACTCCTGGTCCATTCATCTGCAAAGGCCCCACATGCAAGTTTAACAGGGGGTAACAAGAAGAGCCCAGCTTCCTTCTCTGCTCTTTTTAATATAAAAGAAAAATAGGGACTTTGGGGCTAATGCTGTATCCAACTGGAGCTGTTCTCTCCAGTCCTTGGGAGAGTACATACACAAGGCATTATGTTTTGTTTTCTTTTTTGTTTTGTTTTGTTTTTGGCTAGGCAATGGAGTTAAGTGACTTGCCCAGGGTCACAGAGCTAATGAGTGTTTTGTGTCTGAGGCTGGATTTGAACTCAGGTCCTCCTGAGTCCAGGGCCGGTGCTCTATCCACTGCACCACTTAATACACTAAGCATTATGGATCCTAGAAGGACGGAGTGGTAAAAGTCCTGGTAAGGAAAACCAAGACAGTTGGAAGAGAGGCTTCTGGTCTCATTTCTTTCCACTTTCCATGGAAAAGGCAAGAGGAAGCAGCAGTTTAATTTAACTACCCTAGTTCAGCTTTTAATATAATGTTCAAAGTCTCTCCTTTGCCATAGAAGACCCTGAAAAATGAAGCCCCAAAGGTAGCATCCAACCTCCAGAGGTGGAAGATTAAAGGCTACAAGAAGACTTTTTCCCCCTCCCAACATCTGAAGTGGGTGATTGGGGGATGACCACACCTTCCACTCCAATTCCTCATCAGCTAAACCAAGAAAAGTAGTAGAAGAAACAAAGCAGCTAACAGCTCCATCTCATTTCACTCCAGTTATAGACATCCCCTGAGCTCCAGATTGGACAGATGGATGGGATTGTGGGAAGGAAGAAACCATTATAAAAAAAGAACAGCCAAATAAGAAAGAAAATTAGTTCAAGAGAGAATAAGAGGAAAAGAGAAATGAAAAGTGGTGAGGAAGGAATGCTTCTCAGAAATGACCTGAAAAACAGACAAGTTGATTTATTTCCTCTCTGCCCCAGGCTATGTCTGGCTCAAGATCCAGACCACCCAGGTGAGGGCTGCTTGTTTCAAGATCCAATACGACCTTTTGTCCCACCAGAGGAAATACAGAGGGGTAGGTGAAAACAAATCCCCGGTAGCCTCCTGAAAAGGACCCAGTGGATGGTAGGGGGGAAGGGTGGAAGACAAGGGTGATCCGATCAGATCCTACTAAAGTGAGGGAGTGACGTAGATCATTCCCCCAGAAGAGCATGGTCCCCTGAGCACGGGTCACCCTTGGCAGGACCCCAGAAATGGAAGGTCCTTCCTTACACATGTACAAATCACACAGCTCTCCTTTGGAAGCAAAATCTCCAACAGGCACAGAGGAGCAGGAATCTGTTCTAGAACATACCCCCCTACCTCTCCCTCTCTCCCCCAGCCTGCCCCTAGAGGGGAGGAGGACTCGAGGAGGGGACCTAATGGACTCCCTCCCTGTCCCCCACAAAAAAATAATAATTCCTATGGATAGAAAAAAAAACCCTAGGGAAAAGTCCAATAAGAACCTTATCAATAATACAAAAGAATACCAAACATTCTTCCCACCCCCACCCCCACTCTCTAAGGCATATGCCAATTCTCATAATGCTTCCCTGTCCAGTTAGGACAAAATTACTATTTCATTTTTTAAAAATAAAAATTAAGATATCCACCTCCCCTCTTAAAAAAAAATTTCCCCAATGTCCCCACCTTGTCCCCACCCCAACCCCAACCAGGCATTGCTCCCTTGACACAAGGTAAACTTAAAACACTGTTGCACCCTTGCAGCCATGATGGAATTGCCCATCACAACTTGAGTTCAGTCTGAGGATGGAGGGATGGGGAAAGATTGCTCTCTCTCCCTCCCATCATTGGAGGCTAGATCCACCTGGATAGGGGATAAAATGCTCCTAGGGCCACGACTTTGCCCATTTTCAAGAAAAGGACGTGACTCAAGTTCTACCATCATCCTGATGGTCCTGGGCCATGGATCTGCTGGGCTCACACAATTCCATGGCTTCGGGATCCTAATTCAAACCAGCCCATCTTCTCTTGGTTCAGGTCCAGTTCCCGAAGACGGATGTGAACCTCCCCAAGGAGGACATTTTCCCAGAATCCTTGCTCACTCAATACACTCAATTGCAAGTCCCGCTGCTGGAGGTCTCCTCTAGGGATCCCATCATACACCAGCTGCAAATGTAGGAAAGTGAAGAGAAAAAAGATCAGTCAAAAAGAGAAAGAGCTTTGAGGGCCCAGGGGATACCTAGGGAGACAGGGCATGAGGAGGATGTGGCCTTATGCCCACAGGTATACAAAGATACAAAGGAGCCTCCTTCAAACAATCTAGGGACAGCCTATACCCTAGTTTAACAGCTTTAATTCTGCTAGATTCCCCCACGCACCATCTCATTGTAAGTCGGGTTGCAGGTTTTCCGGGCCACTTTAGTTTTCCTCTTGGTGGTTTTCTGGGGGTCAGGGAGGAGGTAAATCTTCACATAGGGGTCAGGATCATTCCCATCCTGGAGCAGCTGCTGCAGATAAGATGCAAAGTGTGACAGATACCCCTCCTTACTTCTAAAACCTTATCTATCACATACCAACTATCCCTTCTAGCCAGACCAGTCCCCAACAGGCAACGTGCTTATTTTTACACCTATGTCTTTATAGTTCTCAATACTTGGAATGTATCTTCCTATAAATCTTCTCTTATTAAAATCCTATTTTGATGCCTCATTGTGGTCCTGGGTTCCAAAACCGAGGCTCTGGCAGATCCTATCAAGCTGGAAGGGCTTTGAATACAGGCCTGGTGATAGATTATACCTCTGCTGTCTAAGGACCAACCTAGTAGAACTTAGAGAAGACTGGCTACAGAAGACTGGCTACTAGATGATTTTTTTTTTCGGTTGTAGAACCCCATGAAGACCATGGACTAGATCAGTGATCTCCAAACATTTTTTATTTCACACCCCTCTCAGTAAAATTTTTTAGCCTTTGCCCCCAATGTGTGTATATTTACTTAGTTATAAATCATGTCCATGTTCTACTGTATTAATAATTATGTTATATGATATATAATTACATAAAGAGAAATTTCAAAAGGATGACATAAAGATGAATTAATATTTGATCATAGAGTTGATAGGGAGCCAGTGGAATTTATTGGGTAGGGGAATGACATGGTCAGATCTGCATTATGGGAAAATCACTTTGGCAGCCATGTGGAGGGTAGATTGGAAAGAAAAGATACTAGAGACAGGAAGACATATTAAGAGGTCATTTTTTTTTGTTTATTTTTTGTTTTGTTTTGTTTTGGTTAGGCAATGGGGTTAAGTGACTTGCCCAGGGTCACACAGCTAGTAAGTGTTATGTGTCTGAGGCCGGATTTGAACTCAGGTCCTTCTGAATGTAGGGCCGGTGCTATATCCACTGTACCACCTAACTGCCCCAAGAGGACATTTTTAAAAGTCCAGGTGAGAGGTGATGGAAAGGGGGAAGGTTTGAGAGATGTAGAAGCAAAACTGACAAGATTTGGCAACTGATTAGATATGTGGGATGAGGAAGAATGTGGAGCTGAAAAAAACCTGGGTCAATGGAAAGATAGGGCTTTTGACAGGAGAAAGTTTGGAAGATGAGTAGGTAATGGCTGATCACAACCACCTGTGAATCCTGCTTATCCTGTATGACTGCTTCTGTCCCTCCCAAAACCAAAAAAGAAGTGGGGCTCTTACTCACTGGTCACTGCCCTCCAAGCACAAAGTCTGCTTTCCCAAGATAGCCTGCTGCAGGCACAAAGTGATCTGCAGGATGGCTGGGGCAGAATTTGTTCAATGGCACCAGCTCAGCCATGGTGGGTAGCAGTTATGTTAGATTTTGCCCTGAGGGGCCCTGCAGACTGAGAGGGAGGAGTAAATGGGAGCTTTCATAGAAGATAAGATAGCAATCCCTATACCTTAGCTCATAGAATCATATGCCTTAGAGCTGGAAAGATATATAGATACAGATAGATATACAGATATCTCAAGGACAGGAGGATGTGCACCAATTAAATTACTGAAGTTTTATCTTCCCCATCCTTCAAGACCTAATGCAAGTGCTGGCTCCTGTATAAACCTTCCCAGCAAGTTCTCATCCATCTCTACCTTCTCTGGTTCCTATCATACAATTCGTATTTAATTACATACTCCTTCATGAAATTCTCTACTTGTTTCACACATGTCTGACTTTTATCTGCAATCACACTGTGAGCTCCTTGACAAGAACCACAGCATGGTTTATGTTTCTCTGTGTTCCCTACATGCCTAACACTGTGGATACTCAGTCAATTTTTGGTCATTTTTCAGTCATGTCCAACACTTCCTGACCCCATTTGGGGTTTTCTTAGCAGAGATACTGTTATTTTGCCATTTCCTTCTCCAGCCCATTTTACAGATGAGGAAACTGAGGCAAATAGGGTTAAGTGACTTGCCTAGAGTCACACAGTTAGTGTCTGAAGTCAGATTTGAACTCAGGAAGATGAGTCTTCCTGACTTCAGGTCTGGTACTCTATCACCTAACTGCCCTACTCAGTCAATACTGGATTTGATATGGAGGTCACTCACAACAAGAGGAAGGGAAAATTAAGGAAAGGGTTCAGCCAGTCATTATAGCCACAGGAAAAACAAAGATCATTGGCCCATATTTGCCTGACCTTAGCACTTACCAGGCCCCGGATATGCATCACCATGATGAACAACTTATTGTTTTTATAGGAGATGGATAACTTCACCTCTCCCCCTACCTTCCCCACTGGCCGGGCCCACGTGCCATCTACAGAAATCAAAGGGAAAAGAAAAGGTAGTATGAGTTCTAATCACTTCTCTGCAATATAGTCAATTAATTCTGCTTCCTGCCTCACCTTTACCAGTTTCTCATTGTCCAAATCAGGAAACGAGAACACTGACTCTGACTACATTAGGAATCTCCTAGGTGAACTAAGTCTGAGAGGTGTCTTGGAAAGCAGCATGATATGATGGGAAGCTCACAGGACTGGAAGCTTTAAAACCTGGGCTCCAAACCCCACTGTGCTACTTAATGCCTGCATCTCCAGGCCTCAGTTTCCTTCTCCGTCACTAGATGATCCTAGGAATAGGATGTATATAGAAATGGGGACAGAGAACTGTAACTGTGCTATCATCCCCTGGATAGGACCCTGAGAAGGATCTACACAAAAACAAGCTACAGCAATACGAAAAGGTAGAGGGGGCAGGACTAAGGACAGGAGATTGAGGATGGGGTCAGCAGAGGAAGCAGGAACAGGAAAGGCCCTAAAAAGCCAGAAGGGAAGACTTTGGGGAAGGGACAGTCGGGGTATGGACTAGGAGTGGACACCGTACCTGAGGATTTGGGAGCTGGGCTGATGCCAGCAGCCTTGTCATCCCTGGGTAGGGGGTGGAAGAAGGTGTACACCAAATCACACTAGAAGGAAAGCACAACCCACTCAAGTTCAAGGGCAGTTAGCATCAGCTCTTCCTGGCTCTCTGATTTCTCTCCTGAAATCCTAAAGCCCTGGATCAGCTTCCTCCCACCAACTGCTTCTCACCTCCTACCTATCCTGGTTTTCTGTCCCAGCCAGGCAAACTCGCTCACCCTCCCTTGTCTCTGCAGGCTCAGACTTCACATGAGCTACTCTGCCCTAACACACCCATGTGGAAGTCATCTGCCCTTTACTTTGCTAAATCTTGCTTTCTCTTTCCTTAACAACCAGCCCCAAACTTCCTTATCCTCCAAGAAACATTCCATGACTAACTGCTTCTGACTCTGATCTCCCTAATTCTTCTAAGATTCCTATTGACTACATGTTGAGTCCCATAATTGACTTGGCTTATGTTTCTGTCATTTGTATTTACATCTTTGGCCTCTATCAGGCCAGGAGCTTCCCAGAGAGCAGACATTGTATCATCTTCTTCTTCCTCTTTATCTCTCTACGTAGCACAATGAAGACCAGGGCTTTACACAGAGAGAGTGCTTATTGCTAACTAATGATGAAAAGGAAAAGGCCAAAGATCATTGAGACTTTCAGGGTCTTTGACAGAGGTGTCTCCCGGTCCCTTTGCACCCTCTTCCCTCCACCATACTCCAGTTCCTTCTTCCCAATCACCCCCACACCACCCCTGTCCTATGAATGGGGATGCCCACCTCTGCCACCTCTGGGGACGAATGGATCAGGTGCCAGATATAGCCATTCAGAAGTTCCTTCCTCCGCTCTGCCACAGCCTCACCTCTAGAGCGACCAATCACAAATCTGCTCGGAAAGCTGGGTGGGAATAAGGGATGCCCATGGGAGGGGAGGAGGAGTAGGGTGACAAACAGACAAAAGAGAGAGTTACTCTTCAAATATCGGAAGCTGGCAGTATTTCCATTAATCAGACCCATACTTCTCCATGGCTTCCCCTTAATCTGAAGGGACCTAAGTCTCAGTCTTCCCCCATCCCATAAAGGGCCCCATTTCTCTAGTCTCAGAGGACACAGGCATATTCTGGTCTAGCTCCTTAGTGCTTCAATATATCATCAGACCTAACAAACGACCCTAACAAAGAATGGAGAAACTCATCACTGACAGACTGAATAGCTTTTGGAAGAATCATCATAGAGAAGGCATACCGCCACCTCCTGCAGAGAGGTGATGAACTCAGGTTCTAGTATGAGACATATTTTTTTTGACATAGCCATTGCAGGAATTTGTTTTGCTTAATTACACATATTTGTTACAAGTATTTGTTTTTCTTTTTTCTTTTTATCCAGCAGGGGAGAACAAGTGGGAGAAAAAGAAAAAATATTTTTATTAATTGAAAAAAAATTTTTTTAAGAAAATAAGCATAAAAAGGATGATAATTTTGAAACATAAGAAGGAGGTGGGACCTTACAGACTGCCCTACTTCACAAACAGAAAAAAAGAGATTCAATTTCATAAAAGCTCATTTCTCATTTCCATTAGGCCCACCCTGATTTGCTTCAGGCAGACAGGGCTTGTTTTTATGACCAAGAGCTAGATTGGTGCAATTCTTGGGGGGTTTATAGGGAAGTCACAGCTATTTGGCTAGCAAGGAAAACCTCTGCAAAATGGCAAACATGCCTCTACCAAAAAAAAAAAAAAAAAAAAAGCAATAGTAACAAAATATACAAAGTTTCATCCCAAAAGTCTTAGTGAACTTTCAAACTTTAATAACTTAAGCCTTAACAACTTAGACAACTTCAATAACTTTAAAGTTTAACTTAAATTAAGTAACTTTAATAACTTATGCTTTTATAACTTAAAACTGCACTGACTTTTGGGACACATTTTCTATATGTAGTACCAAAAAAAGTACTACCTTCCTATATGGTAATACCAAAAAAAGTGGAAACCAAACAGATGCCCCCTTGATTGGGGAATAGCTAAACAAATTTTGGTGCATGATAGCCATGGAATCTCACAGTGCAGTAAGAAATGATGACTATAATGGATACAGAGCTCCACAGGAAGACATATAAACTGATGCAAGGTGACATAAGCAGAAGCAGGAAAACAATATGCCCAATGACCACAAGAATGTACAAAATAAATGATTGGAATAGAATTCTGGGAAATTATGATGACCAACTGAGGCATCTTTTTTTTTTTTTTCTTAAATGAGGAGGACATTTGGAAAACAGTTGGAAAAAAGGCACAGACTGACAAGGACAGCTTTGAAAGTTAAGAGGATGATCTTATTCTAAGCACTTCAAAATAAAAGTAGGGCTATACCTAATAGAAAACTTTAGTTTCATGCATAATCCTCATTTTCTGTTCTACTACATATGTACAAGAGCCTAGCCCATCTGGTGATTCAGAATAAAAAATTAAGATTGATTTTTTTAAAAAGATAAAAAAAGAAAAAAATTGCATAGGGCAGGTGCAGGGGAGGGACAGTGGGAATGAAAATTAAAATGCCCAAACTAGGCCCCAAAGAAGAAATATGAAGGGAGGAAATAAGCATTTATATAGTGCCTACTATGTGCTAGGCACTACACTAAGCTCTTTTTACAAATATTATCTCATTTGATCCTTACAACGTGGTACTCTTATGATTCCCCATTTTACAGATGATAATTTTTTTCAGGTAGAGGTTAAGTGACTTGAGCAGGGTCACACAGCTAGTGTCTAGGGCTAGATTTGAATTCAGGTCTTCCTGCTCTCTACCCACTGTGCCACCTAGCTGCCCTGATGTGTTGGTTAGCTTTGCTAAATTGCTCCCCCCCCCCCCTTTTTATTCTCTGTTATAAGGGATAGCTTTTGGAAGGAGAAATATTGAGGAATATAGGTGATAGGAGAGCAAGGATTATTTGCCTTTCTTTGTATCCCTAGGACTTAGCATAGTGCCCGATACACAGTAGACACTTCCTAAATGTTTATTGACTGACAAAATATATCAATTGACTTTTTTTTTAATCTAAAAGCCCCTCTTTCAAGAAGGCGCCTGCTTCTTCCCTGAGCCTTACTCCCCCACCATCACAACACCATTGCCCCAGTGTGCGTTAACAAAGGGCTACCAGGCAGTGGCTGGATACCTGGGCAGATGGAAGGAAGGGAAGAGAAGGCGCAGCTTGCTGTGTAGTTCCTGGAACTCCTCAAAGGTCCGCTGGATGTAGACAGCTTCATGGGCATTCTGACGCATCACCTTCACCACATAGATCTGCAAAGGCCCACAGTCTTGTTCGGTGCCCTCCCTGCCCTCTGTACCCAGAGGATTTCTGTTTGTTTGGGGAAGTAGGGCTAGGAACAGGAGAGGAAGGATGAGAAAGGAACCTGGCCCTTTGAGAAAGTTTTAGTGATCCTCTTTAAACAGAGACCTGGGGTCTACTGGGCTCTTCAGATGGAGAGAAAACATTATGTAGCCAAGTGGCAAATAATAAGTGAGGCCCACTTCTGGGCACACTTCATAAAATAAATACTCAAGTCGAAAGGAAGGGTCATCTGGTCCATTTTTCATTTCAGCCAAGTCAGTTATGTGAGTATGAAAGGAAAGGGTGCTAACATCCCCCTAACATATATTCCATTTGGGTCCCTATCAGATCGGTGGAGGACTGTTCCCCCAAGCTGGGATCCGTGGGGAATGGGTCAGCCGGACACTTACATAGCCCTTGTGGGGGTGGAAGACTTTCTCATGGCGACAAAGGAAGACATCACTGATGCGTCCAGAGCTCTTGAGGGTGTAAGTCCGGGGAGCAAAGGAGAGTGTCAGCCGGTCATCAGAGCCTGTGAACTTCATCTGCGCCAAGTTGTGGATGAAAAAGTTGAGCTTTGTGGCTACACTGCCCAGGCTGGACTCTATTAACCTGTTGTAGGATGGCAAGGAAGTAAAGGAGGTGACCCTGCTGGATCCTTCCGTGTCTCTGCTGCAGAGGATACCTGTCCTCCCCTGGACCTCATGGCGTAGTGCTTGGTTGGTAATTCTCATGTATTTACAAATAATTTTGGTTTCTGGTTTTAGTTTTGGTCCCAATCTGTGATTTCATTTGTATGGGGAACTCTTGGTGAGGAAATCGCTTCTGCCAATATATATCATCAGCTTCTCTGGAATTTAAAGAGATGCTTGGGCTATTAGAGATTACATTACCAACATGGGGTCATGTTTCTAGTATGCATCAGGCAACACTTGAACCCAGCTCTCAATCTACCATGCCACAATAATTTTCATATTATTTTGTGCTATAGTTATTAGTGAGTAGCTTCCATAAGTTGAACAAAGACAGTGTCTTCACCCACCTCAGCACCACATTCTGTACACAGTAAACTCTCGATTAATGCTTGTGGAATTGAACCATCTAGGTGAAAACATGAATCAATGCAAACTATAGAATCACAGAATTAGCACCAGAAGGGATCTTAGAAATCATCTGGTCTAACATTCCTTCCCCTCCCCCATTTTACATATAAAGAAACTGAGGGGGGACAGCTAGGTGGCACAGTGGATAGAGCACCGGCCCTGAAGTCAGGAGGACCTGAATTCAAATCCGGCCTCAGACCAACACTTGACATGTACTAGCTGTGTACCTTGGGCAAGTCACTTAACCCCAATTGCCTTACCACAAAAAAAAAAAAAGAAAAAAGAAACTGAAGCCAAGAGAGGTAAATCCATCCCTACTGATTTCATTGCAAAAAATATTAAAAATATGCCTCACTGATGATCCAGTGTCTTCATATTTAAAGGACAGTGCCTCCCAAACAAATTGGATGGAAAAACTGAGGCCCAGAATTGAACTCACTTGCTCATAATCAATCACATTCAGCAATTCAAGAGCAAAACTGAGCTCATAATTAAAGCCAGCATCTCCCTCTACACTAGCAATCAACTCTGCCATCTCTAGCTCCCAACTAGAGCTCTGCTCTAGTTGGCCCTGCTCCTTCCGGTATCTCAAAGGGAGCACAGCTGTAGCACTCAGGGCATTACCTAGTGAAGTAGGTTGTGGCATTGGCCTCTGTGTCCTGGGGCCTCAAGGCATCATACACATACTTGAGGTCCTCGAGGTCTGAAAGCTCAGGAATCCCACAAGACAGCATCTGGGGAAGAGGGAAAGAGGAAGTTGTGGATATAACTTTGGTGACTTCCAAGGTAGCCTGTTCCACGTAGACTCCCTTGACCATCCTGGAAGTAATGGTGGGGGGAATTGTCTGTACCCCAATCAACCTGAGGCTCCAAGAGGCTGAGCTAAGATGAGGTGCCCAGAGAACTGATGATTCAACGTAAGTTAGGAGTGGCGTGTTACGTGCCAGGCACTGTGCTAAGGTCTAGGGACACAGACAAAAAGCAAGAGTCCTTGTCCTCAAGTTACTTACATTCTACTGGGCAATAATAACAATAACTGACACTTATGTAGCAATTTAAGGCACATTATTAATTTGATCAGATACCCCACAGCAAGACAAGACCTGTGGGTTTAAAGGACAGTATTAAGCTGTAGGGAAGAGGAGATTAGAGGAGGACAAGTCCTCTCACCAAACCCAGAAGGTTGAGGAAGAGATGGGTATGCTTTCGAATGAGGTTGTAGGCCTGGCAGCAAAGGTCCACAAAGTCATGGAAGCGGCTGGATGGTTTGTCACCCCCATTGATGACATACGCCATGTCAGAGGTAAAGACGAAGGGGGCACGGTCCCTGGACCAAGAAAAACATACAGGTAGATGTGAGGTTAAAATGAAAGACAAATCCTATCCTTCTGGACCTGATCATTGTATTAACTCATATCCATCAACCTGTAGGCAGAACTGAATTTATCTCAACCAAGACAAATGGAATCCTCTAAATCTTTATTTTTTTTTTTGTCCCATGATATTATTAGTATCAGGAACCACTAGTTAGGAACTTTCTCTACCAAAGCAGTTTAGCACCTCATCTGAAATGTATAGTCCTAGAGAGTTATTTGCTACGCTGAAAAGATAAATGAACTTCTAATTATTATTATTATTATTATTTTAAGATTAGGTTGTGCCCAGGCTGGCCATACAGTAGTGGATCATAGACCTTTTCCCTTTCTGACTCATTCCAGTTCTCCTCTCCTTAAGTAGTTTGGTGACCTTCTTCCTGAGGGCTCACCATATTGGTGCTGAACTTGGTAAGGGCATCGGATTGGCTTTAGCCCACTATAGCTCAGCACTCCCAAGCTCAAGTGATTTACCAGCCTCAGCCTCTTCAGTAGCAATGAGTACATGTGTGTGCTATCACACCTGGCTAACTCAAATTCTTAAGAGAACTGTAGGGAAGAAGCCCCCGTGACCTCTCTTGGACACCTGTTCCAGCATCAAACCATCCAGACAGTCAGTTTCCATGTAATTAGACTCAGTCCTTTTAGCTGTCCTTTAAGGTCAATTTTCAATATGTACTGAAAATAGCTGACCTTCACTTTCTTTAATTAACTTTTTGTGTCACAAGGAGAATCATTAAGTTGATCCCAACTTAAGCTAACAAACTCTAAGGTTTTGTCACCTATTTCCCAGCACTGAAGCATTTCAACTGGCCTCCATGCCCTTCTCACACATAAATAAATACGTACTTTTCACTGGAGGCCCACTCACCGCTTGATGTTGCCAAACATCTGGGCATGGCCCAAGAAGCGACCAAAATCAATGTGGAACATGTGGCCCGTGGTTTTGAGCATGATATTGTCATTATGCCGATCACAGATGCCCAGGACGTAGGTGGCCACGCAGCAGCCAGCACAAGAGTAGATGAAATTCTCCACAGCCTAGAGGAATGAGAGCATGGAACTGGCCAAGGGGCAACAGGTGCCATAGGTCTGTCCTACCTGAATGGATTTACATGAGAGCTTGATGGAGAGGGGCAAACATTATGCTTTCTGTCTTTGTCGCCACTGACCCTTAATCATGTACTATCTTTGTGAGGGAAACTGAGGAAGATCTTCCCCAGCCCCTCGTGAAACCGTCTCATAACCTGACATAAAGAATGTAAATTGGAGTTGTGCATGGCTGAGGTAATCATGGAGAAGGAACATTAAGTAACCAACAAACTATGTTACCTGGGAAAGCAATTCTGATCTCAAGAAACATTTTTCTAGAGAGAGGTGTGTAACTGTCCAAGGACCTGATCACTCCTTGGAGACTTACACAACAAACAGGTATTTGGGGCTCTGATCAAGCTCCCACCTTTGTTTGAATGTGTGCGTATCCAGGACCTGAGCTCACCAAGGATATGTACACAAAACAAAATATTAAGGTTGTTTTCCCCTGGTTCACATAGATATAAAAGGGGCATCTGAAAGGGGATTCTTTGGAGTACTTTGATGTCACAGATAGGGATGCTGATTCTCTGTTGTCGTTGATCAGGGACAGAATGTGTGCACAGTCCCTGTTGTTTAAGAGCAGGACGCTGCTCTTTTGGCCTCCTGATCAGACCTCTTGATCGTCTCCAGTCTCCCCCGTCTCATAGGTATTTGAGCTCACCTGGTCAGTGAGTGTGTATCCTTTCTTTTCTTATTCCTCCTTTTCTCAATTTTGATTAATACTTATTGCATTGAATGTTATTCTTATCTTTATATTCTTGTGTTGCCTTAATCATTATTAATCATCGTAAAATAAACGTGATTGTTAAGTTTATACTGAATACGTGTCATTATATCTTGAGATCCGAACCGAAATTGAAAGTACTGCGCGGTCCATAATCCTTTTGATTATAATCTTGCATCCACCTCTGTATCATACTTATATGCGTGACAGATCCTCAGTATTGAGAGGATGGTTCATGAATACTCTATACACATGAATACCCACATGGCAGGTTTATGATCCAAGTGACAAAGGTCAGAGATTTCATTTATTGGGGCCCTAGAAACATCTAAGGCCATACGGAACACAAGAACTGGAAATCAAGAAGGAGTTTCCTTCTAAGGCCAAAACATCCTTAAATGACTCCCAGTGCTTATGTACCAGATGGCTGGTCCATAGTAGGAGCTCAGTACGTGCTTGTTGAATTAAAATGAACAGAATTAAATGCTCATTTGGCATTTAGCTAAGTCCTGAGCTGATTAAAATAATTTAACCAAGGTATGAACTCATGGAGTGGGTGTTTGAGGAGCTTGACACAAATCTCTGATGGAATTTTCTCTAACTGGAGCATGGAAGGGAGAAATATTTTGAGCAGGGAACCTTTAAGTACTTCTTATCTATTCTGGCTAACCCCCTTGAACTCTTCTGCCCCACCCTTTTCTCCCCAAGGAACAAAATATATGTAAGTAGCATTGCAGTCACACACCCATATCCACTCCCATTATCACTTTTGTAAGGTCTGTACCTTATGGGGCTCAGTAAAACTAAGCTGTTTTTATTACTATTATTTTGTTTCATTTTCTGTTCGACCAGCAGTTGGCACAACAAACCAGGAATGTGGAAAAAAAAAAATCCAGTTCTCTGACTTAGCGTAGCCTTCCACAATTCACTTCCCCATTTCTGGGTCTCAGTTTCTTCCTCAATAAAATAAGTAGATTGAGGTAGATGATATCAAAGGTCTCTTCCAACTAGGCAATATGGTATAGTGGAAAGAGAATACTGAATTTGGAGTTAGATGATGTGGGCTCAGATATTGGCTCTGCTGATCACTACCTGTAGAAATCTGGGCAAGTCACTTAACTTCTTTGGGACTCCCTTTCTTTATTTGTAAAATAAGGGATTTGGAACAGATAACTTAATATACAGCCCTTTCATCTCAAAACATATGATCCTATATCCCGCAACATTTCTATGACTCAAGATTCAGCCAAAGTCCCCTCTCCCCTCTGACGTTTTCCTTAAGCCTTCCAACCCTCTTCTACCGCGAGTCCTTACTATCCTAGTTTTCATTCGTATACGCCTTCTTTTCGTATTTGTTTCTCACCTTTTAAATAGTATGTTAACAACTAGACAGTCTCACACTTCCTTGAATGCCCCACCTTTTATGTAGTAGACAGACTTAGAGTCAGGAAAAATTGCCTGGGTTCAGATCTTGCCTCGGACGTTTATTAGCTGTGTGACACCCAGCCTCAGTTTCCACATCTGCAAAATGCACTTACCTCACAAGGTTATTAGAAGAGCCACATGAGATAACATATGTAAAGTGTTTTTCAAACCTTGAAGTGCTATGTAAAGTCTAAATAAATATAATATATTTAATAAATATAAAGTCTAAATATAAATATATCTATAAATAGATCTAATCTTAATATAAAATCTAAAAATAAAACTAAATATAAAGTCTAAATAAAAATAATAGCTTAAAAGTCACAAGCAAAAAGAAGGAAATCATTTCTATCTGGACAAAACAGGGAAGACTTTCTTCACAATGGTTTCTACAGGGAGAGAGGCTAGAAGGTGGGAAGTTATTTCAGGCAAAGGGAACCATGGAAAGAAAGGCACAAGGACAGACATTCCAAATTCTTGGAATGGAAAAAAGTCCAATTTGATTGACCCTTAGAATGGAAGGAATATGAAATAAGGCCAGAAATAGAGACTGGATCCAGACTGTAGAGGAAAGGCAATGGAAACCAGGGTAGTGAGTTTAGAGACTATATTCAAAGCTGGAAGGAACTTTCAGTCCATTTAGTCAAATCCTCTTATTTTAGAGATGAGAAAACTGAGGCCTCAAGTAAGGATGAGAAACAAATACAAAAACAAGGCGGTACATGAATGAAAAGTGGGACAATAAGGACTTCAAGGTCCTCCGAATTAATGTGTTCAAAGTCACAGAGAGTGTCAGAGGTGAGCCTTGAATTCAGGTACTCGGCCTCCCAATATATTTCTGCTTCCACTGTACTGTTATCTGTTATAATTCATCAAGTACTTATGACCAATTATGTGCAAATAAATCTCTTTGTTTATAGGCATGGATATGGCTTTTGAAGAAAGACTGAAGGCTATCAGAGTTCTGTTTTAGGAAGTTTAATCAGCCAATAATTTATCAGATGAATCAGAAGAGGGAGGAACTGAAGATGGGGTAAACTCTCTTTCCAGCTCTAACTTTCTACCAATCAAACAAGCATTTATTAAAATACCTACTATGTGCCAGGTCCTGAGGGCTAGAAAGACAAAAAAAAAAAAAAAAGACACAATTCCTGCTCTGAAGGAGTTTACATTCTACATATGAATAGATGTTCTTTATGAGTATATGATTTTTAAGAACCCATAAATCCCATGATCCTATTTTCATTTTTTTTTTCAAGAGGAGAAGTGGGTGGGGTGGGATGGAAAGAAGAAATGGAGAAAAAGAAGTGGGAGATAATTATAGTAACACTTTGCTTTTTGTCTTAGTGCTAATGGGGAGATCTGTCACCCTGGGATTAGCCTTCTTGAAAGGAAAACAGAAAAAAAGAACTTTACAGCTTCACATACAATCCCCTTTTTCTGTTTTTTGGGGATTTTTTTTTTGTATATTGAAAGGTTCAGTTGTTGATAATTAAGTTTAGAATAAAAAACAACAACATTTAAACTAAAAAAAAAAGGAAAATGATTGAAAAGAAAAGTGACCTCTTCCTTCTCTTGTGCCCTTTGGCAACCTCAGAGCTCCCCATTCAGTCCACAGGCCTTCTGACGTTGAATTTATCTAGCATGTAAATCATACCTTGGACAGCATATGAAGCTATTTTTTCCCATTTAAATTTATCTATTTCTTTTCAACAAATTTGTATGGATGTCATTGGTTCTTACATTACCTACATTTCCTAATGTATCTCTCCTCCACCTCCATATGAGACCATTATAAATATCGTAAGGCCTATCTCAACCAGAAGACTGGAGCTTGGGGATTGTAAGCAGGGACCCTCTCTTGGGCTTATTCTGTTCTTGCAGCCTACAAGGCTCTCAGGGCTTTTGTGAGGAAAGTGTGCTTTGTCAACCTGAAAGTGCTGAATGTCAGCCTGTGTTATTACTATCCTCATTGTACCTGGCATGATATGAGTAAACAGAAAAAGCTCAATAATTATTCTACTTGTTGGCTTCAGTTGGTTCTTTTTAGTAGAGGAATGGGAACTCAGGGTGCCACAGCAGGATAGAATGCAGGGATTCTTAATCTGCAGTTCACAAACTCGTTTTTTAAATAGCTCAATAAATGTATTTCAGTATAATTGATTTCCTCTGTAGTCCTAAGAATTTTATTTTTTTTTTAATTTAAAGACATTATTCTGAAAAGAGCCCTGTAGGATTCATTAGACTGTCAAAGGGGTCCATCACACACACACACAAAAGGCTATGAATCCCTGGTATAGTGGAAATCATTAGTTTGTAAGCTCCTTGAGGGCTGCGTCTGTCTTATGCCTTTTTTTGTATCCCCAGCCCTTAGTACAATGCCTGGCACATATTAGGCACTTAATAAATGTTGACTGATTGAAATAATAATGGTCTGGGAAGCAGGAGAATTGGGTTTAAGTCCTGACTCTGCCAACAGCTAGTTGTGTGACTTTGGACAAGTCACTTTCCCAAATCTGAGCCACAGATCCCTCATTTGTCAGATGAAGGCATAGAACTAAATGGCTAAAATCCTATGACAAAGTATGAAACCAAGAACTCAAACCATCGCTACTCCTTCTCATCTGATAAAGTTCAGGTTACCTCACAGGGGAATTCCCGGAGAAAAAAGGCTCTGGTAGAAGAAACATGGCCACCAAACATGGCTCAGTAGAAATATTAATTGGACCTTACAAGTTAATCACCAGCCCCACGTGAGGAGGGAAGCCCCTCACACAAAAGGCAGAGGTCACTAGACAAAGATGATGACCTGAGAATTTCCCTGGCTTACGTTGGAAAGATTATCTGATCCTCCCTAAAGACGGCAGTCCAAACCAACCAAGGGGAAATGTTTCCCTGGTCATTCCTTTCCTTTACCCTGAGACTGGTTAATTCCTAGGTAACTCTTATACAGAATTATGATGTTCTGGGGTTTTTTGTTTGTTTGTTTTCTTTTGTCTTTTACACCTAAGACTTGAAGCAACATGGTTATGGCTCTCTCAGGAACACCCCTTGTCATTGCACCATAGCCCTTTAGAGCTGAAGGGATCTCAGAGATCATCTAGTCCCAACATCTCATTTTACAAATGAAGAAGCTTAAAACACAAAGAGTGAAGTTGACTTGCCAGAAGGTCACACGGATAATCAATGGTGGAGGTAGGATTTGATCACAGGCCTCCAGAGCTCTTTCCACTATACCACACTTCCTCTCCCACGCGCCTACCTTCTCATACTCATCCTCCCCAGGGTTGTGCTTCTGCAGCCAGTCAGCCAAGGGCCGGTCCTTGAAAGAACCCGTCACCCCATGCTCCACTTGGATCTTGCGCAAGGTTTCAGCATTGGGGATCATCTCCACCATGCCTGAGAGAAAAGGGATCTAGGTCACTCAAAGAGATGGGGCTTCAAGGCTAGTAAGGAAAGACCCAGCCTGACAACCAATGTGTCACTGACTTTTCAATCAGAACCCTTCCCTAGCTCAAGGGCAACTAAGGAATGGGCCAGCTACAATTGCAGGGAACTAGGGCCAAGGATAATCTTGAAAAGGGAGCTCAATCTCCAAGCCCCCGCCATATGCCATCTTTCTGTGTAGCTCTGAGGGCTCTCCCAGTAGATATATAGCCTTAAAATGGGACACAATCACCCTCCTGACACTCTGGTTGTTGGAGAGGAGAAGAAGGAGATGTGCAGAGGGCCTCACTTCTTGCTATAAGGCCACTTATCCCTAGGAACCAGACTGACCTCGACCCCGGCCGGTGGAGAAACATCGGAAGATGACCATGCGCATATCCAGTCCCTCTTGGATCCAAATTTTGTTCATGATTCGGATCATTTGCAGAGTTAGCATGTCCTGACGCAGATCATCCCCACACTGTGAGAAGAAGAGGCAGTGGCCCCATGTGGTCAGAGCAGGACACTATCATACCTTCCTCCACCAGTTGGCACCCTCCGTCCACCAATTATACAAATCTTCAAGGTGTGTTCCCCTGCCTCTCATCTGACACTTCTGATTTTGCCTCATTCATCAGACACCATCTCAGGGAGCAAGAAATTATCCATTTTTTTCTTCTGTGTTAGAACAAAGATGAGATTCCTCCACCACCTCGATTTGCTGAATCTTATCCCTTCATTTTTTTTTTTTTGGAGGGGGTGGAACTGGACCTGTGATTTCATTAAAATAAGGAATTCCCAGTGAGGAAACCCCCTCTGGCAACAGGAATCAGTATCTGCTTTGCAACATAAGTGATTTCTCCAGGGTCACAGTCAATATAACTAGTAAGTGCTTGAACTCAGGTCTACCTGATTCAGAGCCAGCTTTCTAACCATTATACCACACTGCCTCTCAGTCCTATTCATTCATGAATCCACTTCATGTCCCAGTTCAGTCCACAGTGAATGCCCTTCCTTCTAAAATCCTAGAACTGGAAGAGGCTAGGTGGCCCAATGGGTAGATCCCTGGGCCTGGAGCCAAGATGACCCAAGTTCAAATTCAGCTTCAGACTAGGTTCTTAGCTGTGTGAGGCTGGGAGAGTCCTTTAGTCTCTGTGTGCCTCAGTTTCCCCAACTATAATGTGGGGCTAATAATAATACCTAACTCACAGAGTTGTGATGATCAAATGAGATATTGGTAAAGTACTTAGCATACTAGCTTGTTTCCTTCTCTCCTCTCCCCATGATACTTGTTGGCCTCGCTCATTGGACATTTAGGATATTTGTTCTTCCTTATATTGTCAGTTATCTTTCCATGTATATGTATTTTGTCTCTCCAACTGGACTTTAAGTTTCTTGAGGGCAAGAATTATTTCTCATATTCCCCTCAGAAATAAGATGCTCAGGAAATGTCTCAATACATCCTGGGGTCCCCTAGGGACATCCACTGATCCTGTTACATATAGGGGAAATTAGATGCAAAGAAAAGGAAGTGGATTGAGGCTGATAGTTGTGTACCTTGGTTAGGGGAGTAGGGGGAATTGTAGACTTATAAGAGGGAGTTTCCCAGTATCCCTGTTCCATAAAATCAGGTATATGTTTGGATTCTTGAGGATCCACTTGGGGCTTAAGGTTGGTTTCTGGAATTAGTTATGGGGGGCTGTGATGTGTCTCACCAAGGTTAGTGCTTGCAAGAGCAACCTTGGCCCCTTGGCCCCTAATGGTCTCTTTTTTCCTGACCCAACCCTAGGATGTTGCTCTCACCTTGAAAATGACACGGATGTTCTCACCCAGTGGGTCCACGTTCTGGAAAGAGAGCTTGAGGGGGACTGCATTAGAGTTGAAATAGGAACAATCCTGCCACAAGGAAGGAGACAGACCAGAATTAGCATTATTTTAGAGGCGAGAATGACTACCTCTTCCCGTCTCTGACAGGCAATATCATCTCTCCTTCCTGAGCTCCTACCCCAGCCCAAGTCTTCCTGTCACTTTTGCTTCCAAACTGTCTCTCAGATTTATCCTTCCTTTCCATTCCAAATGTCACCTTCCTAGTCTAAACCCTCTGGCTTCACCCCTGGGCCACTGCCTCAGCTTCCTAACTGGCCTCCCTGCCTCTGGTGTCTTTGCCTCTAATCAGTCCCACAAGCCACCACCAGTTTCGTTTTTCTAATATACAGTTTTGATCTTCTTACTCTCTTGTTCAACACCTTTTGACAGCACCCCATGTCTTTCAAATAAAGTCCAAATTCCTTAGCTTGGCATTCAAGGACAACAACAATCTGCCCTACGAAATCTACTTTTCTGGCTTTATCTCACACTGGTCCCCTGAGTCAACCCTTTCCACCTGCCGAGCTAGACAACTGCTCTGAGGCAGTCAGGTGGAGTCGTAAGTGGACGCCTTGATGTCAGAAAGACTTGGGTTCAAATCCTGACTCTGGTATCTAGTAGATATTCAGCCACAGGCAAGGTCACAACCTCTCTGAGCCTCAGTTTCCTCACCTGTAAAATGGGGATAAGAATAACACCTACCCCACAGGGTTGTTGTGAGGATAAAATGAGATAACATATATAAAGCACTTTACAAACCTTAAAGTGGTCTATAAATGTTATTATCATTGCTATTATTATTATTCCTCATTATATACCAATGCACCTTATACTTTCCCACTTCCATAACTCTGCTCATCCCATTCCTTCTCCAAGGATGTCTTCTCCCTTTGCTGAAATTCTACCCCATCTTTCAAAGCCTATTTCAAATGCCACCTCTTTGATAAAACCTTCCGTGCTTTCTCCAGATGTGACCTTTCCCTTCTCTAGCCTCCTATAGCCCTCGGTACTATAATAAAAGCAGTATGCCTGCCATCTCCCCTCTAGACTGTAAGCTACTTAAGGGCAGGCACCTTACATATATATATTTCATAACACAAACAGTACTCTGGGCATAGTTAGCATTTGTTTACTGAACGGCCCACAAAGAGGCAGTAGCAGAGTCACAAGGCCAACCACCGTCCATAACACCTGCCTACTTGCTTTGACTCTGGTCCATCCTAAGCCAGAGTTCTTGGATCCTCTGAGATGCTCAGAGAACTAGGTTCCCAGCCTGGGACATCTGTCCAGTAAAAACCAGAGCACGTGTCTGGGGTTGCAAAATGTACAGGAAAACCATAATTATTAGTCTCTTCTTATTTCTTCTAAGAACTAGGTAAATGAGGAGACTCACCCCTGAAATCCACTAGTCCCACTATAGCCCCCTCACCCGTGGCACGATGCCCTTGACCAGAAGGCTGGGGCTCAGAGGCAGCCGGCAAGAACCGTTGAGCTTAAAAAACTTCCTCACTTCCTCCAGCCCTGTTCGAAGGATCCCCTATTGGAAACAGAAAAAGATAATGAAAAGACAGGAAGGGAAAATCCATCAGTCTCCCCAAGGCAGGGTACAGTTTAGGGTAATTAGGAGTGATGGTGTTAGACATTCAGAAGTGCACCTGAGAAAACTGGGCTACAGAAAGTGCTGATCCAGGAAGACCTGATTTCAAATCCTAACTCTGATACCCAATGTACAGATGACCACAGACAAAGTGGTCTCAATTTCCTCATTGGTAAAATGAAGATAACAATAGTTACCTATCTCATGGGGTAGCTGAAGGGTTCAAATGAAATAATGTATGTAAGGTACTTGCAAATCTTAAAAAGTGTTACATGTGTCAGTTATTGTTATTATTGCTCTCTTCTTCTAAGGGACCTTTAAGAACAAGGGAAGGGCTGGGTATTGTGGTACATGCCTGGAAATCCCTGCTACTGGGAAGGCTGGGGCTGGTGGCTCATTTCAGCCTGGGAGTTCTAAGCTGAAGGACAGCCAAAGCCTTACTAAGTCCAGTACCAATATGGTGAGCCCCTGAGAGATCAAGGTTTCTGGGTGCCAATGGAGGAGAAGGAGGAGGAGGAGGAGATGTAAGAAGAGAAAGGAGGAGGAAGAAGAGAAGGAGAAAGACTTTCCCTGGCTCCCCAGGGATGGCTTATTGGTGGACACTGTGCAATAAGACCCTAGAAAAAGTTCATCTGGAAGTCCTTCAGACAAAGTCTAATAAATACCTCCCTTCTCACCCCATCCTCCAAATCTGAAAGCCCTGACATGTAGTGACTAGTTAAAGGAACTGGAGATGTTTAGCCCAAAGAACAGAAGACAGAAGACAGGAGTAGGGGGTGGGGTGGAGCAGTGACCAAAACATTCTCTTACAGTAATTAAAAGATCGTCTCTTGGAAGAGGATAAGACTTGTTTTACTTGGTCCCAGAGGGCAGAACTAGGAGCAGTGGAAAGAATGTAGATTTTGGTTTAATATAAGGAAATAATTACAACTGTCTAAAAGTAGAATGGACTGTCTTCCAAGAGAGGATGTTCTCCATCTCTTCAGTGGAAGCCAAGAAATCACCTGTCAGAGTCAGAGGTGGTGAAGATAGATTCCTGTTCTGATACAGTCTTGAGCACATGGTCCCTGAGGTTCTTGCCAATCCTTCCGTAAGATACTACGAGTCTAGGAAGTGTAGTCCTGGCCTGAAAGTAGGGGGCCGGAGAGGCCTAAAGTGTTTCATGATGAGCACCAGCACCTCAGGCCCTAGACACGGGATATGGTGGCTGTGTCGGGGCAAGGGTAGGAAGTCTAGAGAGGCAGCCTTTATCCACATACCTGTCTCGCAGACGGAGCTGCTTCTCTGACCTGCTGGGCCAGTTTAGCCAGGGTGTTGACAAGCCAGCACTGCCTATTGAATTCCTCCCGAAGCCCCTTCCCACAGCAGCACAGCAGAGCTGCCAGTAGGTACTGGTATCGGATGCTGAACTGGGAGTCCTTCAAGCCATCTTTCAGCAACCTGCAGGGGAAAATGGCAGCACATGGGAAACTCACCCCCAGCACCCAGAAGTACCTGCCCCACCTACCCTGCCATTTGCTACCTAACCCAATCCAATAAACTTTTATCAAGTGCCTACTATATGTTAGGCACTAGGCTAAGTGCTGGGGATACAATTAATAAAAAGAAAGACAAAAGCTCACAATCTAAAAGGGAAGACATTTTACTTCTAAAGGGAGAGGGATGTTACCTCTACTCTCAACACATATACACACCTTATTTTCATGATATTTGGGAAGAGAGTAGGGCAGACCACTGATTTCAGGGATGGGGAACTTCTGGTGGGGAAAATCCTTCTACTTATGTAGATTAGCATATCACCTGTAACTTATGATCTTAGAGGATTGACCGAGGCACCAAGAAATTAAATGACCTATTCATACTGACATAGCTAGTATGTGTCAGAGGCAGGGCTTGAATTTGACTCGAAGGTTGGCCCTCTTATCCACTATGCCAGGTCACCTCTCAGTAACCTTGCTAGAGGTCTATACCCATGTAAACTCAAACCCAAGCTAAGCTTCATGCATGCCTCATATTTCCACAGAACTCAAAGTTACCCTCACATCTATTCTCTCTTTTGTCGTGCCACCATCTCTGGATAGCAAGAATGTTTTTCCCTATGTTGCAAGAAGGGGAAACTGAGTCCAGAGATGGTGAGTGACTTGTTAAGATTGCTTAGCCCAGTCAATAACAAAACTGGGGACCCGGAACTAGTTCTTCTGACTATCAGTCTATACATGCTTGAAACTACACATAAAATGAGAATCATAGACTCTTAAAACTGGAAGTGGCCCTAGAGATTACATATGCCATTCCCCCTCATTTTCCTGGGGGAAAATCAAGGCCTAAAGAGATCACGTGTGTGCATACCCCAAGAGACACATCTGCCTCCCACCCATCTGCATTGTGTTTTTACCAGAAGAAATAATGAGTGACTCTCAGGTCACAGACGGCTCTTTTCAGGAGGAAGCGCACCAGAGGGCTATCAAGGTAACACTCATACTTAAGGGCCTGTTCCAGGGAAAGAAAAAGAAAGAGAGAGGGAGCACTAGAATGAGGTTTTGTTAGCTTCCCATGACTATCTAAACCATCCACCCTGCTCCCAATGTCTCCCTTACTCAATAGGGTCTAAATCATATGTCATTATGTCTAGGATATGGGGAAACATAATTTGGTTTGTCTCGACTGCACTTCTTGAAGCGCCTCCCTCACACTGGGGTCAATGAGCCAGAGCTGTGAGGGACCTCACAGATCCCTCAGAGGTCTAACCCCCTCATTTTACAGTTGAAGAAACTGAGATCCCGACAGGCGAAATGACTGCCCAAGGTTACACAGTTAGTAAGTGAAAGAGCTAGAATTTGACCCTAGGTTCACTCACTCGAGATCTATGGTACCATAATGCCTTCCAGTGAGGAGGGTACAGGTGTTAGCATTCACTTTCCCCATTTTCAGGGTCTCAGAAGAGATACCATATACCCAACATGAGTAGCGGTGGAGTTGAATCTGATAAGAAGAGGAGAGAGGGCAGAGAGACCCACTTCAGTCACCCAAACACTTTCCTCTACTCACCTGCACCAGCTGGGGTAGGTAATCCAGGAGTTCTGCATCAGAGATTGAGTCAATCCATTGTACAGCCATACGGCGCACCTCCTGGTCTGGGAAACTACAAAACAGAGCCCCAATATTCACCTAGGACAGTCCAGTCCTTGGCTCTGCCTTTGCAGACCAGCCATGCCCATGCCCATGCCCATTCTTAGCTGTACTGGGACTGTGATCAGGGGAGATCTTTGGATAAAGCCATTGACAGAGGAATTTGAGTAACTCCTCCAGGACACTGCAAGTACAAAAAAGATGCAGACACCTATACCCCACCATCTTACCTTAGATTGTTAGAGCTGGGAGGACCCTTAGAGGTCATGCAGTCTAAGCTCTCCCTTTACAGAGAAAGAAACTGAGGTCTAGAGAAATAAAGTGACTTGCCTAATATCACATGGTAGTTAAGGTCAGAGCCGGGACTATAAATCAGGTCTCCTGACTCTTCACCCAGTCTTCATTTCTATTATACCACGCTGCCTTCCCCATTAATTAGAGAAGGTTTTGGGTACAGAAGGAACAGGCAGCCACACTCTTGGAGAAGTCTGCTGAACATGGAAAGGCCCTCTCTCCCCACTTTGACTGAAAATACTCTGCATATCAGAGCACCTAAATATTCATTAATCTCAGATATTCTTTTCTTAAAGTCAGAGTTATAAATAGGCTAGAACCTCTGGTGATCATGCTCCCCCACCCAGAGTCTGGAGAAGACAGTTGTCTACATGACTCCAAATTCTCCACCTGCCTACACACCACCCAGCTCCCTTGCTGGGCATGGTCTTGTCACTATGACATCCCTCTCCCAACTCTATCCCTAGTGGGGCTTGAGCAGGTGTCTCTGAGGGACCAGCCACCCTTTCAACTTTCTCACCTCACCAATGCAACCACAGACTGTCCTCTACAGCGTGTGGGATTATATCCAGTGCCTCCCCTCTCCAAATCCCACTGTCCTCTGTACACCCTCCCCAAGTGAAAGAATTCCTAGTTATGACTCTAATTTGGATTGTCATTGCTGTCCTATAATTATCTTTGAAAACATAAATACCTTGTCAGAAACAATGGATATGAATAATTCAAAGAAATATGGGCAGTTGGACCAAGAAAACAATATATACAATGATTACAACAATGTCAATGAAAGAACAAAATAAAAACAAAACTGAACACTGAGTAATTATAATTACCAAGCTCAGCCCTGAAATGAGATGAGGAAGTGCACCTGCCTTCCTTTTTTGTAGAACAGAGGACTATTTATGTCGAATATTGCATATGTTCTTAGGCTCAGTTAATGTGATGGTTAATTTTGCTTAAATGCTATTTTTTTCTCTTTTTTACTCTTTATTACAAAGAATGGCTTGATAGGTAGGGGAAGAAGTGGAGATACATCTGGAAATGATAGGGATTTCAAAATATGATATCAAAAAAAACATTTACAGATACAATTACCTCTGGGGAGAGAACCTTAATTATACAAATTATTCTACCTGTCTGGGATAATTTCCTCATCATGAGATTCCATGGACTCTATGACCTCTAAGGTTCCTTTCAAATGAATAACCAGCTTACCCTGCATTTTAGCTTTATGGAGATGAAGAAATACAAGAGAATGTAAGAGCAGAGAGGGACTGGTTCATTTTCGTATCCCCAGCCCCTAACGCTCATAGGTACTTAATAAATGCTTGTTATATGAATGAGTGAGGGCACAGATGGTATACTTGTCAGAACTGTAGCTGACACATAGCTGAGAGGGATAGCTAACACCCAGGATGATAGTCAGATTATAACAAGATCTGAACAGGCTAGAACTGTTCTAGCTAACTGAACTAGCTAACTCTAATTAAGTGAAATTTAATGATAACAATCTCCCACTTGAGTTAAAAAATTTAACTTCACAAGTACAAGATGGGGAAAGGCATGCTGATAAAGTAGTTTGTCTCAAAAAGATGAGGGTTTTGGTGAAGTTAAGACCAATAGGAGTTAATAGTGTCATATGGCAGCCCCTACAGCTAATGCAATATTGGGCTGTATGAAGTCAGGCATAGATAGCTTCCATGTATGTCAGCCCTTACAGCATGTAATATCTTGGATGTAAGGAGGGACAATTTCAGGTTCTATCTTTTTGTATCCTTAGCACTAGCACAGTGCTTGGCACATAGCAGGCACAATGGTTGAATAAAGAGGTGATAATCCAGCTGTATTTTACCCCAATGAGATTCCCATTTGGAGTATATGTTCAGTTTTGTGCATCACATTTTAGGAAGGAGACTGATAGGCAAGAGAACATCCAGAAG